GAAATAATTGAAAAAGCTATAGAATTAGGCTGCCATTTAGTACCTGTCGGCAAAGATGACAAATGTGAGTGGCGAATTTCGTTTGTGTTAGCTGAAAAACTTCTGGTTCGAAACATGAATCCAATGCAACATTTTGTGTATTCATTTCTCAAATCCATTAAAGAGGAGATTTTTTCATCAGTCACGTCCGGAATTAGTTCGTATGTACTAAAAACAGTACTATTCTGGGTATCAGAGGAGAATGATGTGTCAAAGTGGCGACCCTCTACTGTACTTCAACATGTTCGCGTATGCTTCTTAAAGCTTACCGAGTTCTTATGCTCCGGAAGATGTCCACACTACTTCATGAAATCTTGCAATTTGTTTTACAAAAAAATTACCCCTGTCGAAATTACCAAGCTTATTGCTAAATTGACAAAAATGACAGATTCTGGGAATTTTAAATCAGATATAATCAATTTAAAATCTGTAAAACTTCTTTGCAAATACATGTTTTTACAAAATATGCGAACAATGAGGTCCGTCGTGACCTTTTTGGAAATATGGTCTCAATCCTACGGAAAGTACCTATTACGATTATCCAATGAACTTACCTCAACCTTTGTCGAAAAACTGTTCAATAACAAAGACTTAGATCGTCCAGAGCATATGATGATGACAATTGCTAATGTACTGACAAAAGTAAAAAGAGAAGACAGTGTTTTACATGTATCCGTGTCATTTAGAGATACTCTTATAGGGGTTTTATCCTGTATGCAAATTCGTGCAAAATGTGCATATGAGTTTCAGACATTGACTGGACCCAGTAGTGACAAATCAATTGACGAAAAAATTCAATTTGTGAGTCACTTAATTAAGAAATCAAAATTGCAAGTCGAAACATTGTGTCCTGGAGACCTAACACAAATAGCTCACACGTTCTTTTCCCTTGGTTGCTATGAAGACTGTTTAAAGATTGTATCTCCTATGTTAGAAAAGTTGAAAACAAAATTCCAGCCAGGGTTTGGTTCTGTTATGTCTTTAATTCAAGTTCATTTATCAATAATGATGTCTAAGAAAAATGACGTAACGTTTGCGTCTCCCTTACGTCCTATTTTACATACAGAGTTCTTTCCCTTTGAAGTGCAGATGTTAACAAAGGACTTAAAATTAGAAATAGTGACTTTAGAGATGCAGAATGAAATTCTTAGGAAGAGCCTGCCGATACCAATAGTTTTTCCTGCAATGCAAGTAAAACTGAAAGTTAACTCTCTGGTATACTCTTTATACTTGAAATTTCAATGCTATCGATCTCTTGGGAGCCGTACTGGATCGTGCTCTGCATTGGAGGATTTCAAAAATGCATCCTCGGGAATCTTTGATAATGCAATATCCTTTAATCTTCTAGGATGTTGCTTGAAAGAAAATGGACAACTGGAGGAGGGAATTCGAATTTTCGGACGCTCGGTTTATAAAAACAGAGAATTACTGGGAACAAAGTATCAAATCGCGATATTACTCAAACATGCTTTTAAGTCTTAAATTTTTTGTTTGAATTCCTTGAGTACTAATTGTGTACAAAACTATACCATGTACAAACATATTAAGTTTATTTAAAATACATGAAATATATAATTGTAAGGTTAAGTGCCATTCGCGGTATACCCGGAACGGCCATTATTATGCTTATCATAAGTACATGTAATATTATGCTTTCATGTTGCTTGCTGCTGCTGCTTGTTATAATTTTGGGTCGCCCTTTACGCTTAGTGACCCTTTGCTGCTTTTACATATGCCACGACCAGCAATCGCTAATATGAAAATAAAACTTTTTTAAAATCATGTCTGTTTTATTTTCCTCTATATAAATAATCTTTAAGTATAGATACGTGTATATTGTTATCATTTATTTGTTTTGGACGCAGATGTGTTACGGCAGAAGGGCTAGTTTGATCAAATTGGCAATATCCGATATAGATGGAGCGTATAGCAGGCACGTAGCATCGTTTTTGAAAGTGGGGGGGGGGGCAACCAGAGAAAAAAATTTTTTTTACTTACCTGTTAAAGTTGACAAGCCAAAAAAAAATTGCCCAAACTCGAAAATCCTATATCGGGGGAAGGGGTTGGGGGGTTGGGGGGTTGGGGGTGGTAGTGGCCAACTGTTTTCAGTGTCAACTTCCTTTAACTTCCAATTTTTTTCCTAAATTTCCTTCCTATGAATATACAATGGTAGAAAGTGAGGGGGCCAACCATCATTTCAATGAACATTTTCTATAGTACAGGTAATGTTGGAGAAAAAAGTGGGGGGGGGGGCAGGCCTCCCCTGCCCCCCCCCCCCCCCCCCCCCCCGGTTGCTACGTGCCTGTATAGTTACGGTATCTAATTACCCCAAGGCCAAGCTAACGTAAACCTGATTTGGCTGTGTAATGCCCTTAAACTGGACAGCGCGGACACTAAAAATATTGAGTGATTGCGGAAATATATGACGTTCGATATTTGATTGAGGAACAAAAAGGCCAGCAACTCATACTATACGAGGGTTGATCCAAAAGTTCGTGGAATTTTTTCATATCTTATTTATTTTTAAGTGGAAATGGTTGATTGCAAATGAAAATATAGACACTTGATTGATGAATATTTCAAATTGTAAAAATAATTAAAATATCTTTGATAGTAACTCTATGGCAGTTGCCATAGTAAGAGTTGTTTGAAAATGCGGGGGAGACATTAACGCGTTTATTTTCATTTTACTTCTGAATACGTGAAATGAGAATTAAACCCCCTATGTGGTATATAAAACGAAAATTATGTCATTGCTTGATCTTTTATGAACCTTTGTGTGAGAGTTTTACTGATTTTACTGGATATGTAGTTTATTAGTTGATGATTTATTGTTCATCTTTAAGTTGTTAGACAACATAAAATTTTGGTTAAGTCATATGTTTTGTAAAAATGCCAGGATCACTCTATCTTTAACACGTATATTATTGACAAAGGCCTGGGAAAATGCATTTAGTTACTTGTTTTCTAGTGGCTTCGGAAATTTCAGAAAATAAAACTTCCACGGACGTTGATTAAAGGTGTGAACGTTTTTTGGAGGCTCTGATTTAAGTGTTTAACCCCCCCCCCTCAGACAAATTAAAAGCGTTAGTGGACGTTGTCGGCTGCGGTACTGTTATTGACATTGCTACTGAAATTAGAACATCATATGGAAAGATGGATAGTATTTTAAAATATGTGGGTGCGAGAGGATACCCAGGCTTTTCTTGAGGAAAAAAATGGAGGAAACGACAGCATTTGGAAAGCGGTGAAATGTTGCAATATGACTCTGTATTATGAATATTCCTGTTGTTTGCTTTCATCAAATCACGATTAAATTTTAGAAAGAAATTCCACGAACTTTTGGATCAACCCACGTATGTGCTATGATTTCTCCTGACATCCTGCTACATGTAAATAAGTTTTTCCCCAAAATGATGACGTGTGCGAGTACAGAAGAAATTGGATCGATATCAAACAGAATGTTAGTCACGAGATCTATAGTCAGATAGAGATCAAGAAACATTCGAAAAATAATTTTAAAAAGAGAATTTTAAAATGGAATGGTTATGGACCTACCAATTTATCACATTAAAGGTACTTGGACACAGATTTGAAGTTAATATTTTCTCATTTTTTCTGTATAATATCACGAATTATATATTTTAATAGCACTTCACACAAAAATTGATTAAAAATCTTATTTTATTTAAAAGTTATCAAAACTTTGAATTTTTGGCGGATTTGATTGACACATCCTTGCACTTTCACAAATTTTAACTTTATTCTTAATCCTTAGGAAAAGTGGCAATCCTGACAATAAGTTGTAATAATATAGAGAAAATATTAACTTCAAATCTGTGTCCAAGTACCTTTAATGCAAGCAATGGTGGGAAGTCGAGGAGAGACGCAGACGTGCAATTGCAGCACAAAGACAAAATGATGACAGCTGCGTCATTTTGTAAAGAGTAGCTTGTGCAAATTTTTGCAGACAGTGACTACTGATTGATTTTTCCGTCATACACGTACATTATACTTTATTTCTTAGCTCAATATATATTTTCATTACCAAGTAACTATAAGCCCTGCCCGAACCCAACTTGCATGTATGATACATCTAGGGATGGACACTACCAGACTTGCTTTGGATGCTGGATCTGACCTATATTTTTATTCCCAAGTAACTATAAGTCCTACCTGAACCAAACTTGCATGTATGATGCATCTGGGGATGGACAATACAAGACTTGCTTCTGATGCTGGATCTGACCTATATTTTCATTCCCAAGTAACTATAAGTCCTGCCCGAACCAAACTTGCATGTATGATGCATCTAGGGATGGACACTACCAGACTTGCTTCGGATCCTGGATCTGACCTATATTTTCCAAACAAGCAATTCAGCTGCATCACTATTCAAGATATTCTGATCAAATTTTATACACATACAAATTTTCATGTTGCTTTACTAATACATCCTCGGCGGGGCATTCATGTCCTATGGACATATTTCTCGTTACAATAAAATTTTAACAAAACACGCCTAAGTGTAGGAATACCGTTGCTCCATTATTATGTGCTACACTGTAAGACTATGAACTAAATATCGACGATTTTTTTTTTGGGGGGGGGGGGTTCTTGTTTATAAAATAATCACAGGTATTTCTATTCAGAATATCAATAATATCATAGCGAGTATTTGAATGTATTTCTATGTTCTGCTCTCTTCGAAAAATACTAAAATCATGTTTATGAACATAAACAAATTTCAGATTTCTCCGGTTCAAATAAAACACAAACACGAATATGGGCCCTTAAAATATTTTAACACACAACACAGAAATTAACTTATTTTAATCAGCAAGTTGCCATGCTTCAAGTTTTCAGATGTCTGTGTAACCGTTCGGTTTTCCTTAGGTAAATTTGGTGTGGAGTGGAGCTTACTCGAAGCGGATGAGAAGCCCCGAGGGAACGACGCTGTCTAGTGTACATACTACCTAGATACACAGGATGTTACCTGAGTGTGTCACCTGTAAACGAAACCGTTTTTTTTTTTCATGTGTAACTCATGAATTGAAATGCATCAAATAAAGAATGTTTTTGTTGCAGACAGAATCCTTTTTAAATTTTTTGTTTCAAATAAATATTTTCAATAATTCGACAATTTCAATATACTATGTTTTTCTTAATCAAATTTTATAACAAAAATACATTTTATTTTACCACCAAAATCTGTCGTTGTAATTTGGCGACAAAAAGGGAAGTCATTCAAATTACATGTCATGTACATATGCTAAACGAAAGAAGAAAGTGAATCATAAACAAGTCTCTCGATCAAAAACGATAAAACTTAGACAAATTCGACAAATGGTCAATCAACTGATAAATCAGCGGTAGTTTTATTCGCTAGACTTAAGAAATTGATATACTGATCAAAAAGGAGGAAAAAAGATCATGCACGTGCCTTAATATTGTGATATTTTTCTTCTCTCTATCTCCTCTCTCTCTCTCTTTCAATCTTCTAACTGGTACAGATATAAACAGACACGAAATAACATAGTAATGGATCATTATTTGATTTAATTAATATCAAATACTTCATTAATTTATATTTTCATTAGAAAATAAATAAAAACAAGACACTCTGAAGAAACAATTATGTATAATCATTAAAAATGATTGTGTTCATACAATTAAATGCTGCATTTTCCATTACCGGCATTTTTTGTTTTCGATATTTTATTCCAATATTTTATCTTTTTTCTTTTGTTAAGTGCCAACTTTTACATATATCATAAATTATATCGTCATTAATGCATTATACATGTAGCAACGTATAATTATGTAGTATACCAAATAAATATCTATCTTGTTTTCATTTTCGACATAATTTTGTTTTCATTCTGGAATTTACCATTGCAGCAATTCAATGTTCTCTAAATATTTTTAAAGTATTTATTACAAAATATTATGGAATGCCATATACGACAGCCAACTGCTTACTGCCAACTGCTGACTGCTTACTGCCAACTGTCAGCTGCTTACTGCCAACTGCCACACAAATTTGAATAAATTTTATTTTCACATTGATATTTTTGTAAATTAAAAAAAAGGCGCGAATCTATAAAGACATTTTTTTTTCCCAAGAGGGTCACTCTGGTAAAAAAAAATCCAACCCATAAATTTCCTGCCAAGAAAAAAAAACCGTAAAGTCCTTTCCTAAATGTGAAAATTTATTTCGGTCGAGGAGAGGGGGGTTCTTATGTGTAATACTTCATGTCGATGACATTTTTTATACCAACTTAACACGCGAATCCACATTTTCGTTTGGGGAGGGGGGGGGGGGTCCTAAGGTCCTTTTTGGTTGATTTATTTTATATATTATATAACTTTTTTTGGTTTAGTTTGTGCATAGAATAACTTTACAAATTTCAGAGGGGTGGTTCGGACTCCTCTCTCTAGATCTATGCATGTAAAACATATCTTATGCATGTAAAACATATCTTATTTGTAAAAACAAATTTTCTTAGTGGAGGGTCCAAGGTCAGTTATACCGGTAGTTCGTTTAGTTTATACATTAACCCATGACTGTACAAATTTTAACCCCCCCCCCTCCAACCGCCTCCTGATCTATGCATGTGAAACAATGTAACACACAGGGATATACATTTTTAATTTGAGGAATTTTTTAACTATAGAATGTAATGGAAAAAGAAAATTGATTTTCAAAACATCTTTCTCTGCGAAACAACATATTTTT